TGAAAGTCGGTTTACACCCTAAGAGGGGGGTGAATTAGGGTGTTTGCAAATTTTTTAATAAAAACAAAACTTATGCGCAAAGTAGTAGCGGAGAAAGAGCAAGAAAAGTATAAAATATAAAAATACGACACAAGCGATTTTATACTGGTTCGGGAACTCCCTACTCCAGTACCTCGAGGCTCCTCCTCAAGGATTTAACCTCCACTAACTTGTTTGGCTTCACTAAGAAGACTCAAACGAGGTTTGGCAAACAACCCTTGCCAATAAGCAAACGAGATTTTACTACGGCTATCTCAACCGTTTACAACCGAAGATTTTAAGGCTATCTTCAACCTTACAATGAGGATTTAAAGGCTATCCACACCTTTTACAAATCAATAAAAAGATTGGTGTTGCTTCTCTACCAAAATGATAACAAATATGAATTGGGTAGGAGAAGAACAAAAGATTAAATCAACAACAACAAAAGCCTATAGGCAAGATATAAAATAATGAAGCACAAATGCCCTTGTGTGTGAGTGTATAAGAAGATGAAAGCTTTTTTACTCAAAGAAGTAAGAAAAATAAGAACAAAGCTTTAAGAACACTCAAGAATAGAGAAAGAGGCTTTAGAGTTAATTGGGAAGTTGTTTTTAATTAAAATGAGACTTAGAGGGGGTTTATATAGGAGTTTGGAATGTTAAAATATGAATTTTTAACCTTAAATGCCGTAAGGAAGTGATTAGGGGTGATTTGAATTTAAATTGGCAATTTGCTACAGTGCTGTAACGGATCCGGTACCCTTCACGGTAGGGGTCCGTACCGTACGGTACCTAGGTACCGTGAAAACGGTACAGCCTACCGTTATGGGGTACCGTGTAAGCCATAGAATTGGTTCGGCTCTGGCGGTATCTGGGTTCAAACGGTCTGGCCAACCTTCCCAAGCCTACCGACGGTACCCAGGTACCGTTGTCACGGTAGGTGGGTACCGTGTACCACCCAGGTGAAACGTACAACGGTACGTTCACTTGGCTACCGGCGGTACCCTGGTGCTGTGTACACGGTAGCCAGGTACCGTTAGACCTGTGTAAAAATCCAAAACTCGTTTTTCGTGTTCCGTTTTCAAAATAACCCCAACTAAGAGTATATTTGTCATTTTAAAATTAAATTTTGAGTGAAAGGGCATAAGTAACTCATTAAAATATATCATTACCTTTACACAACAATTTCTAAACTCGTAGGAGTATATCTCGGTGATGTTAAACAAGCTAATAGAGGTTTTGGCGTTTGGTTTAATCTTGCAAATGATGTTAGTAGCATTGGAAGACTTATTTGGCACATCAAAATGGTTACGGGGTACGGCATTCAAGGCCAACACCACTATCATAGATAGCCCGGTTTGGAAGAGAATTTGCCAAGCTGATGATTCTGCTCCTCCAACTCTAATTTCACTAATGGCACTCTCACATGGGAGCTAGGAGATCAAGGTTCCTTCTCCCTCAAAAAGGTTTCCCTCGCTCTCCAGGAATCAGTTCCCTCCACGCTCACGGCAAAAATTCCTTGGCCCAAAAAAGGAATCCCAAAGGCAAACCTATTCCTCTGGAAAACCCTAAACAAAGCAACCCCCTTCTCCAACAACCTTCAAAGGCTTGGCTTCAATCTCCCCTCCATGTGCATGTTTTGTTCCCAAGCAAGCGAAACAGACTACCACTGCCTTATGTTGTGTCCTAAAACCAGCAACATCTGGAACAACATAGGGCAACTACTACACATGCCTACGATATCCAACTCCTCCTTCCAGCATAACCTAATCATGTGGTGGCTGTCCACGTCCCCTACTGATCATCTCTTCCATGTCAAACGTATTATCCCAACCATCATCACTTGGGAGATCTGGAAAGCATACAA